TAAGATATTTATATTGCACTTTAAAAATATTTTACTGCTCTAGCTTTATATACAATACCAAATTTCCAAACGATGGTTTCAACTTAAGATACTTTCCTGTGGAAGCCATTACACCTCTTTAGTATTTTCCATTCTGGCCACATAAAAATTGAACAGGGAAAGCTAAATATCAACAATAAGAGATTGGCCACTGTGCGTAAAGAAAACTCTGAAGAATATAGGAGTAGCAGAAATAGGGAGTAGAGCATCCCAGGAAAGAAGAAATCAAGAAGAGGGTTCCACCTTTCCCAGCGCCGCGCCAGAGTGCTGCAGACTTTGCTGAAGAAGCTGTGTCTCACTGCGTGGTAGAGAAGCTCCCGGAAGTCCATACCACTGGGACTAATGAGGACTCTGCTTTCTGGGGCTCTGGAGTGAAGTTGGACCCAGGGAGGACCCACATTGTGGAACTCACCAGGAACCTACCAGGGAAGATGGCACACTGGGAAGCCACACTCAGGGATCTGGAGAAGAGTTGCCCACCTTTGGGGCCATGCGCCCTCAGGGAAAAGTGGAGAACCGGGAAGAAAAGACTTCTACCTGCAGTGCCCATCCTCCAGAAGCCGACGTTACGTAAAATTGCGCTAACTGGCATAAGGGAGGGTGGTGGAGGATGGATTTGGAGCTGAAAAACAGCAAACTGACAACTAGAACAGTCCACCCTCTTGACCGCAGAGCTTCTATATGTTCTAGTTTGACAAGACACAGCTGTGAGGGGGCAGTAGGTGGCGCGATGGTTAAGGTGCTGGACTCCCACATGGCCTACAGTTTGAGTCCCAGAACTGGTGGCTTGAGAATCACACTGTGCACATGTGTGTGTATGTCCAAAATCCCAGGAGGAGAATGGAGGAGAAGGAATTCCAGTATGGCCATCCCCCCTGGGGGGCAATTTCTCACTTTCCCTCTCACTGTCTGTGTCTCTGTGGTGAGCTCATGTGCCCTAGGCAAAAACCTTAAAAACAAGCAGACACAGCTATCACAGAGATTAAAATTATATATATATTGGGCTGTTGGGAAAGTCATGATACATTTTTGCATAGAAAAACCTAGAAAAATACATCATGACTTTCCTGGTGACCTATTACTTACTTGTATACACATACATACACACACGCGTACACACATATTTGCACATATATATATAATTTGCAATGTAAGATTCTATTACAGTTATTTTTATAAATATTCTACTTTTATGTGTAATTGCATATAAATAATTTTATATTGTTTTTTGTTTTTGAATGGTACTGTCCAACGGGAATAGTAATATTCAATAAATATGAGAAGAGAAATGATGACACACCTACAAGTTCCGAAGTATTGGGTCATCAGAAAAGTCATCACATATTTTCTTTTTTCTTATTTTTTTATTATTATTATTTATTTAATTTTACTTATTCATTCATTTATTTTAATTTGACCAGAGAGAGACACACCCAGAGAGAGAGAGCGAGAAAGGGATAAAGGAAGCCACCAGGTCCAGGACTCGAACCATGGTTGGCCATGTGGGAGTGTCCAGCACCTTAACCACCACGCCACCTGCTGGTCCCATCACATATTTTTCTATATTTTTCTACGTATAATGTGTCATCACTTTTCAGATGACCTAACTCACCCCCTGGGAGGATGACCATGCCACACTCCCTTCTCCTACATTCTCCATGAGTTTCAAGACACTGAGTCTGGGACTTGAACCACAGTTGACTACATGGGAGTGCAGCGATGTAACCATTACACCATCTGCTGCTTCTGGTTCATGTCATTCTTAAACAAAACATATTGTTAAATATCTTAAACTTCATTTTCCTTTCATTAGAAATATTTAAAATACTAATCTTATACCTACAACTGAAAAATTGATTTGTAAGGGGACCAGCAGTTGGCATACTGGCTACGTTGCTGGGAAGTTGACTCATGTAGTCCACTGCAGTTCAAGTCCCAGACCCGGTGGCTTAAACTCATGCCTGGCGCATGTGCGCGTATGCCCAAGATCCCGAGAGGAGAATGGAGGAGATAGGGATTGTGGTGTGGCCATCCCCCTCGGGGGTGATTTCTCACTTTCTATCTTTTTGTCTCTCTCTGTCTTTCTAGGGAGCACATGCGCCCTATAGAAAAAACTTCTCAAAAAAAAAAAAATGATTTGTAAGGGTTGAGAGTTGAAGAAGACTTTCCTTTCATAAGTGAACTAGAGCTGGTACAGAAAAAGGAATGTGTTATACATATTTGTCTAATACATATTTACTCCTGCTGATTTGGTACATAATTCAGTCAGTTAAGGATTTGTGTGCTAGGAATCTTCTTGCCATGAAAAAAGATAGGAAATAAGAACAGTTTGTGTCATTGGTCTAACAAAAGGGAGAACTGAAATGTTAGAGAACGGGTTTGGGGTTGGGTGGCAGTGGGGCAGAGAAGTTCAGTTAGATTGTGTGGCATACCTGTGCTGCTTGCTCATCCAGATCGGTATAATGGGAGCTTGGTGCAAGTAGTGGGGTCATAACTTAGAAGTTCTTCAGTATTAGGAGTCAGTTCTTGGGATAAAAATCTCACATGAATTTTGTTCTATAAGCTTAATAACTGTATGTAGTTATGGAGGCTTAAGATATTTCTATTGCACTTGAAAAATAGCTCATTTATTTTCCTAATGTTTCTATATTATATTTAATTGTGTGTATCTTTATAGTGTATTGCATTTCTTTTTCCAGCACTACTACCATGCATATCAGTCAAGACAAAGGCATTACTATCCACATCATCATCATCAAATAGCTTTTCATAATTTTTTTTTCAGATTATTATTATTATTATTTATTCTCATTTTTTTTTCTTTTTTTTTGAGGGGGAGAGGTTTTTGCTATAGGGCGTGTGCGCTCGCCAGAAAGACAGAGAGACAGAAAGCGAGAAATCACCCTCCAGGAGGGACAACCATGCCACAATCCCTTCTCCTCCATTCTCCTCCATTCTCCTCTTGGGATCTTGGGCATGCATGCACACGCGCCTGGCATGAGTTTAAGCTACCGGGTCTGGGACTTGAACTGCAGTCAACCACATGGGAGTCCAGTAACATAGCCATTATGCTAACTGCTGGTCCCTATTCTCATTTTTTTAAACATTCAGTCACTATGTATCATTTGGCTTGTAAAGAGAATTTACTCGACATGAAATACTTCTCAGACCAGTCCAGTTGAGACTATTATACTTGTTATCATCAACAGATAAACCATTTCTGTGTCCCATTAATGTCATGCCTCTCTATTTGTTTTCTTGCTATCCTTTTCTATACTCTTCCCTTCCCTCCACCCATTCATTCCCTCCACTGTCTTCAACATTCATAACTATTTTCACTGCTTTTATGCCCTCCAATATTTTGATCTCTACCATGAAGTGTGGATAGTCGGTGTATATTAAGTGGATACATACCATACCTTTCTTTCATATCTTGGCTTGCTTCACTCAGTAACAGATCTTCCATATTTAACCACTTTCTCTCAAAAGCCAGAATCTTCTTTTTTATGACTGAACAGTATTTGATAGAGTACATGTGCCACACTCTTTTCCATCCAATCTGTTTGTGGACATTTGAGTTGGTTTCATGTCTTAGTGAAAGTGAATAATGCTGCAATAAAAATTGATGTGCAAGCTCTTTTCTGACTGAGCATTCTCCTGTCCTTTGGGTAGATACCCAGAAATGGGACTGCTGTATCAAATGGTAGTTCTATTTTTAGATCTTTAAGGAACCTCCATATTGTTCTTCACAGTGGCTGAACCAGTTTACATTCTCACCCACAGTGTAGGAGAGATCCCCTTTCACCGTATCCCTGCCAACACGTACCACTTTTTGTAGTTTTAATCTTTGTCATTCTGACATGGGCTACGTTAAATAGTCCTGCAGGTTTTTCTTAAAGAATCTTTTGTGATTACAGGAAGAAGAAACCATGAATAAAATCTGTCTCATATAAGCTCATATTTTGAGGAACATAGATGACATAATAGATCTTTCACAAATACTGACTGAGATTTAGATCTGTAAAGAATGAGAATGGAGAGATTTAGGGCCAAGTCTATGTCTCTTCCAAAATAAAACCTTATCACTGATGATTACCAGTCTCTTTCTACCTGTTTCATGAGCATCTTTCTCTATGGTTTTCATTGTTTCAGTTTAACTTCTTACTTGATATTAATGGACAAACTGGAAGTACCTTAAAGCTCTTCTACATCTATCCTCCCTAGCTATGAGAATTCCACAGGAAGTTGATGGGGCTGGTGAAATAAGGGATAGGGGCAAGTTTTTTACCCTAATTCCCCAGCTTTGGAGTGATTTTAATGAACAGTTATCTGTAAAGAATTTTGACTTGGATATTTACACTTATCATAATATTGGTTTGCAATCTCAAATAGCAGGGTGCCTTCTCTTCTGCCTGCTGAAGAAGTAGCTAGAACCCTCTCTATGGGTTGGAAAATTGGGATCGTATCTCCTGTTACCTTTGTAATCATATATGTGTATTTCTCACAGTTCTGGAGGCTGGAAAGTACAAGAAACAGGTCTTCACAGAGGACTTGGTGCATGTCGAAGGCCTGTTTCTTGTGTCATAGAAAGCTCTCTTTTTGCTCTGCCTTCACCTGGTGGAAGGGAAGATGAAGCTCTCTGTGGTCCCTTTACAAGGATACTAATCCCATTCATGAGGACTTCATCACAAAACATTCAGTTGCAGAAGTGCCCTTGACCTTCAGGTGGGGGCATGTAGATCAAGGCTGGTTCGGTATATAGGTTCTTCAGTTCCACATGCTATGTGTCCTAAACATTTCAGCATTTTAGAGAGATTTGGACCTTCATTATGTCAGTTATAAAACATTTAAGATTATTGGAGGCTATTTAATGTCAGTAACTCTGGTTGGATTGCCAAAAGCAAGTGGTGCTAGTGTTGACTCCTAATTCTAAATGGTTCTCCTTTTGTTTTGTTTTGCAGGTGTTTCTGAAGAGTGACCGAGTGGCCAGAATGGTTCAGAGTGGAGGATGTTCTGCTAATGACTTCAGAGAGGTGTTTAAGAAAAACATTGAAAAACGTGTACGGAGTTTGCCAGAAATAGATGGTTTGAGCAAAGAGACGGTGCTGAGCTCATGGATAGCCAAATACGATGCCATTTACAGGGGCGAAGAGGACTTGTGCAAACAGCCAAACAGAATGGCCCTAAGTGCTGTGTCTGAACTTATTCTGAGCAAGGAGCAGCTGTATGAAATGTTTCAGCAGATTCTAGGTATTAAAAAACTAGAACACCAGCTTCTTTACAATGCATGCCAGGTAAGTGGTCTACGATACTTCCCATTCCACTGTCTGACTTGTAGAAAGAACATCAAGTGTTTACAAGCCTCTGAGGGTTTACTTTACTTTATATAATCATTTTGCTTGAAAAGTTGAGTGAACCAGGATTTTAATAAATCAAATGGCAATATTCAAAAGAAGCTTTGAAAGAAGTATTTGAAAGAGGAAGAAAAATTTCAGTACTTTTTATTCAGTAAATAATTCTTCCCATGGGCCCTATTTTAAGCCCTCAGACGTGTGCCTATTGGGTATATATGGGGCATGCCCTGAATAGTAAAATGAAAATCATCTGTTATCTGAAGAAGCTTAGCAATTTATAATAAGTAGGTATTCCTCAGTGCAAAATAATTTTATATAAGGATCTGATGCTGGTCTTTTGAGTTTTATAGAAGTAATTGAAATTTCATATTTTTTAAATTTAACCCCATCAGATAGAAATGAATTGAGGATGATTGCTAAACTGTGTAATTCAAAGTAATAACAGAGTTAATAATGTATTTTCTCTTCAGTTGGTATTCTAGTCATGCATATGAAAAACTGAATAAAATGTCTGGTTCCATTTTCTTTATTTTGGACCCTATGACTGATCTTATACTCGATTTCTTCTATACTTGGCACTTCTTTTCTTATTTTGAAGATATAAATTAAGTGTTTTCTAATAGAGAATTTAAATGAACAAAATCCTAGCATTTTAAAATTTATGTGTTTATTAAGAGTTACACTTCTATAATGTATATGTATTTTTAAATCTTCTCACAAATCTTTTTCTCTTAATTTCTATATTCTGTGCTTGTCGCTTACCTTGCATTACTAATTTGTGGATCATTTCAGATGAATAAATTAGTAGAGTTAATTAATAGTAAATTAAGAGGCCGGTAGGTAGCATGGTGCTTAAGGCGCTGAACTCTCACATGGCTGACTGACCACGGTTCAAGTCCTGGATCTGACTGCTTGCTTTCTTATTTTTCTTAGTTTTGTCTGTCTCTCTCTGTCTGTCTCTGGTCTAATTAAAAATAATAACAAATAAAATAAAATGAAATAAATTAATTCCTTTTTCTGGAGAGGTTTTTGCTATAGAGCGCATGTGCTCACCAGAAAGACAGAAAGAGACAGAGAGACAGAAAGCGAGAAATCACCCTCCATGGGGGATGGCCACACCACAATCTCTTCTCCTCCATTCTTCTCTTGGGATCTTGGGCACACACGCACATACACCTGGTGTGAGTTTAAGCTACCAGGTCCAGGACTCAAACCGTGATCGACTACGTGGGAGTCCAGCGACATAGCCATTACGCTAACTGCTGGCCCCAAAATAAAATACTTTTTAAAAAAAAGTCAGTCAAAGTGACCCCTTAACCCAGTGAACAATTCGTGCACGTACCATAATCATTTTCACTGTATCATTAGAGCCGGTGGTAGTTGATAATAGTGGAAGGTGACTGTAAAACCAAAATCTTCTATTTGAAAAGGTAAATACAGCTGGGACTTTGAATCTTTTAATGCACAGCTAACTGTTGAGGAACATAAGTTATTAGCAAAACTCAGATTCAGACATTTGGTAGATGTTTACTGAGTGTTTATTCAAGTCAAAAACCACTCTTGGTGTTAGGAAAGCCAAGCTGAGCAACATAAAATATCTGTTCTCCATAGGCTAAAGTCTGATAGAGCAGGGAGACATTTAAATGAGTTACTTATACACAAGAGTTTATACTGAGTGTTACAAGGTTATAAAATCCATTCCTTTGTACCTTCGAGTTTCTACTTACCTAATCAAGATGCTGTAAACTTAATCCTTTGCTGTTTGTTAAGACCACTCCTGTAGCCAGGGTGTGGACCTCCTGATTTCTGTCTTCCCTTACTTGAAACATACTTTTAATTCAAATCTCCCACTGCAGTGGCAGAGCTGTTTCTTTTTTCAGTTCTATCAGTATTTGCCTCATGTATTTTGAAGCTCTGTTAAGGACATACATATTGATAAGGATTATTATGTCTTTGTAGATAGGACTCCTTTATCATGATACAATATTCTTCTTTATCCCTGATAATCTTTGTTTTTTTGAAGTCTACTTTGTCCTATCTAGCTTAGCTACTGCAGCTTGCTTTAGATTTGGCGTAGCATGGTGTCTTCATCTGTTTACTTTGACCCTGAATCTTTTTTCATAAAGTGGGTTTCTTACAGACTACACTCATATTATCGAGTTCCATGTATATGTTTTTTTTAAAAAAATCTCAATAGGACAGCCTTTGTCTTTAGTGGGTGTGTTTAGACTTTCTATATTTAAAGCAATTAATTGTAGAGTTGAATTTCACCCTACAGTCTATTGTTGCCGTTTCCTTTCATTACGTTTTTGTCCTCTCCTTCCACCTTTTGTCTGCTTCTCTACTATTTTGATTGGACAATTTTTATGATTCCATTGTTTATTCTTTTCTAATGTACTGTTTATAACTTTGTTTCTTTTTATGAGAGAGAGGGAGAGAGAGAGAGAGAGAAATAGGCATTTCTGACAGAGTCTTGTCATGTTGTGATCCTTCCTGCCCAACCTCTGCAGGGCCACAGGTACAGAGCCTGTTTAGACTGGTCCAGGAACTGAACCTAGAACCCCCAAGTGAGCCCAGACATTGTGCAGTTTCCCTGCTGCTCATGCCACCAGAAAACAAACAAACTTATGTAGTAATTGCTTTAGGATTAAAGTATACAGTTTTCAAATAATTTTAAGTCTACCTTCAAATAACACCATGTTACAAGACTTTTAAGTTTCGTGCAGCTACTTCATAATAGTGTATTTCAGTTCCTCCTCCCACCCCTTGTGGCATTGCTGTCATGCATTTCACTTGTAACATGTTCCAGTTACCCAATACATTGTTACTCTTTTTTTTTTTTTAATTAAGAGAGATTTTTGTTATGGGGTGTGTGCCCTTGGGGGAACAGAGAGACAGAAAGCAAGAAACCACTCCCCCAGGGGGATAGCCACCCATAATCCCTTCTCCTCCATTCTCCTCTCTGGATTTTAGGTGCACACACAAACATGCCCAGTGTGAGTTTTAAGCTGCTGGATCTGGAACTCGAACTGCGTTCAACTACATAGAAGTCCAGCAACATAATCATTACACCATCTGCTGGTCCCACTATTTTGTTTTGTTTTGTTTTGTTTTGTTTTGTTTTGTTTTGTTTTTACCATGGCACATAGGCCCTCATTGGAGAGAGAGAATGTGAGAACTTACCCCCAAAGGGATGGCCATGCCACAATCTTCTCTTCTCTTAATTCTCTTCCTGGAAGTTTTGGGCATATATGTATACATGTCTAGTGTGACTTTCAAACCACTGGATCTGGGACTCAAACTGCAATAGACCATGTGGGAATCCAGTCCTTAATCACTACATGCTGACCCAACATTGTTACTATTAATGCTTTAGTTTTGTCTTAGGTAGACTAAGAATAGGAAAAATAAAAGATTACATATTTTTACCTCACTTACTCCTTCTGAGATGCTCTTTACTTTCTTTATATACATCTAGGATTCTTACCTATATAGTTTTTCTGATCTCTCCTGAATTTCTTCTAACGTTTCTATAGGGCAGGACTACTGCTGATGTGTTCCCTCAGTTTTTGTTTGTCAGAAAAAAATCTTTATTTCTCTTTGAAATTGAAAAGGTAATTTCACTGGATCTAGAGTTATCAGCTTTATTTCCTTTTCAGTACTCAAATTTACACTCTTTTCTTGCCTGGAGAGTTTCTTATGAGAAGTCTTGAAAGACTTTTTATCCTTAATTCTTCTATAGGTAAGGTTTGTGCACTCCCAATCCCAGCAACCCTGGCTTCCCTCAAGATTTTCCTTTTGTCATATTCTCAACTGTGTGAGGATGTTATGCCTACGTATAATTTTTTTTTCTTACTTCTCTTGCAGGTGTTTTCTGAGCCCCCTGTGTCAATGGGTTGGTGTCTCCCGTTAGATTTGGAAAGTCCTTAGCATTATTAGTTCAAATACTTCTTCAATTCTGTTCTCTCTCTTCTTCTGATATTCCAGCATTGTTTGTCTGACTCCCCTTTCATAGTTCCCTATAGTTTTGGGGTGTTCTGTTTTTTGTTTTGTTTTCTTCCAGTTTTTTCCTCTTTCCATTTCAAGTTGCAAAGGTTCTACTGACCTGTGTGCAAGTCCATGTTTGCATCACATTTTCTAGGTGAGCTCTTTGAAGGCATTTTTCATTTCTGTTACAGTGCTTTAGATTTTCAACATTTCTTATTGATCCTTTCTTAGAGTTTCCATATCCTGCTTACATCATCCATCTGTTCTTACATGTTTTTAACTTGTTCTAATTAGAACTCAGAGTATATCAGTAACAGTAATTTAAATCTTTGATCATTCTGATACATAGTGATATCTGAATCTGGGATAGGTGCCTACTTTTGGCTCTTAAGAGTGTGTTTCTTTTTCTTTTTTCTTTTTCTTCTTCTTTTTCATGTATCTTTCAGTATAACTTGTCATTGTGTTGTGAAAGATGTATTTTGTGTCTCAGATATTAGGAGCTAAGGTGAGTAGGCCTTTAGTGTGAGGGGTTATGTCATTGATTTTCAGTTTGCCCAACTTTTTATTATAAGATTGAAGATGATAATTTGCAAGCTCTCTACATGTCTGAGATGAAATTGGGATGCTTTTTAGTTCTGAGATTTAAAAGAAAAACTTAAAGTTTTTTTTTGATTGACATTAAAAAAAGAAATTATAAAGAGAACTATAAATACGGAAAGAGCTTTACCTTTGGAATAAAGGTCATTTTTCAGAAATTATGAAAATAAATTATTTAAAAATGAGATTATATATATTTTCCTCTGAAGGATATGTTGGTATGTGTGCAGATGTATACATTGTATGTATGCAGATGTATGTGTGTAAACACATGTATTTTGTCATTGTTGTTCTTTTTTCTCCCAACAAAGATGAAAAATAAAAGGTAAGGAAGATAGTAGAAATCACAGAAAAGT